GGGCCCCGGCTGCGCCATGCCGGGCGACGTCACGGTCCTTGATTTTAATCTATTCATAAAGGGCTTTTGAACCGTTCTTAGTCTGACCTGTCACCCAGGACCTGTTTGCCTTGGGGGGACCCTACCAAGGACATATAGCCCCCGACAACATAGCTCCTAGGATCACTCGGGTACTCAAACCCCTCCACCACAATAAGGTGGCGGTTCAAGGAGGGGGGTCCCCACCCGGGACCTTTCTGTGTGGAGTTTGGATGTTCTCCCCATGCTTGCGTGGGTTCTCTCCGGGTACTCCGGCTTCCTCCCGCAGTCCAAAGACATGCAGCTTAGGTTGAGAAGAAAATGTCAGTTTTATAATCTGTCCATGACCAAACAGGTTGGGGGGGTCTCAGTTTGCCTAAATGGTGAAACCTGCTCTGACCGTGGGCTGTGATGTGGGAGATGCAGCGGACGAGGGCTGGTGGCACTCTGGACTCCATGCTGATCACTGGGTACAGAGACTGAGGAGCTGAGCTCTGATTGGACAGAGCTCTCTTCAGGTGGCTGAACCAGGACTGACAGCTGTGCTGCTCCATGAAGCACAGTGACACACTCCTGATGACAGAAACAACAAAAAACATCAAAGTACTTACCGTGTAGAACGCAGCCAATCAGACACCAGGAAACATCAGATCCCTGACATGTTTAACTCTAGTATATTTCTTTGTCTTGTCTTGAGTTGATTTAATAAAATCACTAATGTTACAACTGACTGGATTGGTATTTCACTTTCTGCAAACGTGAATGTTTGTGTGTTTCACACCTGTCTCCTGTTGCCATGGTGATAATGTTTTCTGATGGATCCATTTCTGAAAGACAAAATAAAGTCAGACATTCAAACCGATTCCAGGTCTTATTTCACATCAGTTTAACTTCTCAAACTGTTGGTGTCTTAATATGCATGCATGTCTTTTTGTATAAAATATTTCCAGGTGTGAAAGATAAAATGCTGTTACCATAGTGACTGAGCACGCTCAGTTCCATCCTCATAGTCTGCTGTGAGTGTCTGTGGACTGGGTGAACACTGACTCCATCTACCCACAGTAACAACCAGGCGTCTGACTGACTCGAGACCCCGCCCACTTTAACAACACACACTTTACTGACAGCCAGAGCTCCGACCACCTCAGCATAAGACACGCCCCCTGGAAGAATGACCTGGAAACAAGATCTCAGGTTCTAATGCTGAGGTGTGAATTCAGGAAGAAGACCTCACGGAGTCAGGTTTACCTTCAGGATGTGAACCAGGTGATTCAGCAGACCCTCCTTATCGTCAGCGGCACAGATCAGCTCATTGCTCAGCGTCACCATCTCAAACTCATGAGCTGGTCTGAAACACAGGAGCAAACAGTTACTTGTCTTAGTAGTATTTATATGGACTCAGATGAGTACAGATGCAGCGGGCTCCAGCAGGCTCTACCTGGTGAGACTAAAGCTCCTTTTCCACCGCCTGGTACTGGCTCAACTCGACTTGACTCTTCTTATGTGCCTTATGTGGTTTTCCATCAGTCAAATGTTGGGAATAGTACCTGGTACAATTCTTGGTAACATCCCCATTGAGGGTTCACGCAAGCTGAGGCGATACCAAACGGTGACATGTAAACACTGCAGACCAGCAGCTGGTCAGAGAAATTCAGCCACTGGTGAACCCAGATGTTTACATGTGATGGCACCAGTCACGTGTTCTTCACTCATTCATAATAGTAAATGCCACTTCCCTCTCACGAGTGTTACAGAGGGTAAAATTTATGATGACAAAGGCCTCGAGCCTGTGTTTCTGTATGATGTACTGTAACCATTATATTAGGTGAACATCTTATCACATAGAGCTAGCTAGCTGGCACGTTAGGGCATCATCACATCTCAGAAATTTGTAATTGGCATTGAACACATATTCAAAAACTAACAAAAGAAAACTGAAAAACAAACAAAACTTAATAATGGGTCATGGGTCATTAATCCACTGGTTAACCAGCAACACATCACATGCAGCAGACACACTGGCCTCAAGCAGTCAGAACAAACAGGTACTGTGCTCCGGGGGAATCCAGCTTTGATGCGTTGAGCATTCACCGATGCAGGGGGCTTCACAGGCAGCTGCTTGTAGGTTAGACCCAGTCAGGTAAAACAGCGAGTCCCCGTACAAGAACATTCCCAGACATGCAGTAACCTCAGGCCCTGTATTTTTCTCCACATCCTCTGGTCACAGTACAGCAGAAGGAGGGAAAATATATCCACAAAACCGGGCGCAGTTGAAAAATTCCACTTTTACAATGGCACCAGTGGATGTAAGGCAAGCTCACATGAACATGCAACTGCCTGGAGATTATGACCATTCAAAGGAAATCCGTAAAAACTATCACATAATACTTTATTTTGTTAGAAAAAAATTTTCGCGGACAAGAGTTTGCGAGACATGTATAACCCAAGTTGTTTCTGCATAGAAGCACTAGAACATATGTTCACCTAATTTTTTGAGCTTTAGGTCTCATCTAAGATGATAATTCACCGTTGTAGCATTGTAGAAAAGTCAGAAAACATGGAAAAGTGCCCTGGGCTCTTTAAACACTTTTACTGCCCACACAACTGCCTGTTATAGGTATTGCTTAATTATAAAATAACTGACAGCTGTCAGTGATGACTGCAACATTATTAGCTGCTCCATGTTTATAATAATTATGTTGTGCAGCATGGAACTTGTGACGTGTCAGGGTCTGTTTGCAACACAAAATGTGTCCACTAGATGTCAGCAGTAAAATCCTAAATCAAGCGTTGTGAGCTGAACCTTTTGGTTTTGGTGAAACTATTGGTTGGGAAGCCTCGACACCTGAATGAGGCATCATGTCACCATCACTAGTAGCAGCAGTATCAGTAGTAGTATTAGTAGTCCATTAGTAGTAGTAGTAGCACTAGCAGCAGTGTATAATTACCCATCTTTGAGGAAGACTGACACAACATCTCGTAGGTCAAGGACGTCACATGCTGCTGAATCATTTTCTAATGAGAAGAGAAACCGATCGTCCTCCAGTTTACCATGAAGCTCCTCTTCCTCCTCCTCACCTGCACACACAGGTAACACACACATGTGGTTAATGTTTATGACAGCATGACCACCAGTTGTTGGTGTGGATCAAAGCACTGGACGCCACCACTGCAGCCACAGGCAACAGAGCACTGCAACATTTCAGAACATTAATAAATTGTGCTGTTTACATTTGAGCCACTGTACAGATGACACTGTCGTTAAGAAAGTTTCACATTTCAATAATTTAACAGCTGTTGTTATAAACCCATCCAGGTGATTCACCCAGTGCTCCTACCTGAGGGGGCAGAGTCAGGTCTCCTATTGGCTGATGGGGGCAGGTGAGGCGGGACATCTGAATTAAAAAAAAGAAAAAAATATCACACCTGAATTAAGAATCAGGTGAGTTAAAGTTCATGTAGTGTTTACTGTGCTGTGTGTGTGTGTGTTGCCTTAGTACATTACCCGTTATGTGTATTACCTGTGTGTGTGTCACCTGTGTGCATAACCACAGGAACCCTAACACCTAACCCACATCAACGGGCTGTATTCCTATACCTAAAAACCTGAAAATGTTATGTAATTATCCTCTTTTATTTTGTGTTTAATTTGAATTTGCATGTCACATAACCTTTCCTTGTGCCTGAGACCAGCAGGCTAATAAGTTGTTAAAATTTAACATTTAAAATAAAAAAAATTGCTGTTTGGCGCACAGCTGTTTAGCTAGTGGTTCCTTCCATTTCCACTCCGCCACTTGTACTGAGTGACAGAGGTGAACAGACAGCAGTGCTCTGAGCGACTTTACCTGCTGTCAATAACGCCTGTAAAATGACTGATTGGGACATGCAGAATATTTATTATCATGGCTCATGAGGTTCTTCTGTCTGGATTTGATGTCAGATCAGCAAGTCTTAGGACCTCCTCAGCGCAGCAGCTCTCTTTCATCAATGTCTGCTCATAGCAGCTTCCCACGCAATGACAGGTGAATTATAGAACAAACAGACTTAAATTCCAACATTTTCTGCAAGTAGTGAGCTGTGGTTGTGACATATTAGCCTATAGTACTAATAAGCTTTAGTTTGCATCTCAAATTCTGTTCAGTTTTAATGAGCACCAATTTTGTGGAATACATGGCCTATAGATTGTCCTTTTCTTAAGTAGCCTATGTACTGACTTTCAAGTCTCTGCACAATATCAAGACAATTAGTTTACGAGGAATGAGGCTGACAAAACCCTCCCCCCAAAAAAGATGCACAACCCCACCCCCAACAGACAACACATTCCGCTGGCTATGCCTGTGTGTGCTACCCGAGTTTGTGTTACCTGAGTGTTACTTGTGTGTGTTACCTGTGTATTCGTTGAGTCGGAGCAGCTCAGCCTGCAGAGCCTTACCCGCCCTCTCAGCCAGCAGGATGGGGGAGGGGCTCTGAGGGTCTGACTGACGCACCTGTGCACAGGTAATATCAGTCAGACACAGTAAACCTATTACTGACCCGCAGACAATGAGGTTAAGTGACTCTGCTGACATTCTTCATTTATCAGTTTGATGAAGTGATGACACTGTAACATCAACAACAACTTGATCTTTTAGTTTAAACCTGCAAGAGACAAGTGTTCTGCTCAACTAAACTAAACTAAGGCACCAAACGTTAGGTAGAAAAACCTGGACATGACAGACATGCATGAGCTGCAGATTCTCAAGCACCGTGACTTCTTCACAGCTTTAAAAACAAAGCATCACATTCCAGGGAAACTAGATGAATTCTCTTTGTGAAATAAATAAACTATTCAATGAAAACACTCCATACAGAATATTTAACAGATCTTAGAATAATTCAAACCTCTGAACATCTGCAGGTTTGATGTGTAGAAACATTCAGCTGATTGCTGTGAATATTCCCTGGTCATGATTAATTAATTATTAATGAACTGAGTGAGATTAGAGATATAAATGTCTTCATGAGCATCAGATCAGACCTTTGCTCCTGAGCAGATCAGAGACATCGTTTCTTCTATGTCGTCACTACAGACCACCTGACACAGCCTCTGAAACACACACATCATCACACACCTGTACAGGTGACATTGTCTTTAAATGTCTGACAAATAATAACATGACTGTATGAGTAGTTTATCGAACAGTTATTGAACAAACAAAATAGAGACTTGCAGAAATGTGACGCCATCACTGCTTTGCCCACGGTCTGCTCACTGAAGTCCCCGTTGTACCTCTAAACCGGTATAAATGCCCACTTGTAATTTTAATGATTAAGATGTGAAGACTCAGACATGTAACTAATCACCAGCGACTGCTCTGCGGACATGTACCCCCTCCTGTGCGTAGTACTGGAGGGGGGTACAAACGGATTTATTATGGTATGGATAGGAAGAGAAATGGGGTAGGAGTGATCTTGAAAGAGGAGCTCGTGAGGAATGTTTTAGAGGTGAAAAGAGCGTCAGACAGGGTGATCAGTTTGAAGTTGGAAATTGAAGGGGTAATGTTGAATGTAGTCAGTGGTTATGCTTCACAAGTAGGGTGTGAGTTAGAAGAGAAGGAGAGATTCTGGAGTGAGTTAGATGAGGTGATGGAGAGTATTCCCAGAGGGGAGAGAGTGGTGATTGGGGCAGACTTCAACAGGCATGTTGGTGAGGGGAACAAAGGTGATGAGGAGGTGATGGGAGGGTTTGGTGTTAAGGGAAGGAACCTAGAAGGACAGATGGTGGTGGACTTTGCTAAGAGGATGGAAATGGCTGTAGTTAACATCTACTTCCAGAAGAGGGAGGAACATAGTTACAATAAAGAGCGGAGGTAGGAGTACATAGGTAGACTACATTCTATGTAGACGAGGCAATCTGAGAGAGATTAGTGACTGCAAAGTGGTGGTAGGAGAGAGTGTAGCCAGACAGCATCGGATGGTGGTGTGTAGGATGACTCTGGTGGTCAGGAAGAAGAGGAGAGGACAGACAGAAAAGAAGACCAAGTGGTGGAAGCTGCAAAAGGAAGAATGTTGTGAGGAATTCAGACAGAAGTTGAGACAGGCTTTGGGTGGTCAGGAAGAACTTCCAGATGACTGGGAAACTATACCAGAAGTGATCAGGGAGACAGGTAGGAAGGTGCTAGGTGTGTCGTGTGGAAGGAGGAAGGAAGATAAGGAAATGTGGTGGTGGAACGAGGAAGTACAGGACAGCATTCAGAGGAAGAGGCGAGAGGTGAGACATAGAAAGGACTGAAGACAGTAGACAGGATTACAAGAAATTCCAGCGTAGAGTGAAGAGGGAGGTGGCAATGGCCAAACAGAAAGCATATGATGAGTTGTATGCCAGGTTAGACACGAGGGAAGGTGAGAAGGACTTGTACAGATTAGCGAGACAGAGAGATAGAGATGGGAAGGATGTGCAACAGATAAGGGTGATTAAAGACAGAGATGGAAAGGTGCTAACAAGTGAGGAGAGTGTGCAGAGAAGATGGAAGGAGTATTTTGAGGAACTGATGAATGAGGAAAATGAGAGGGAAAGAAGGGGGGAAGAGGTGAATATTATAGAGCAGGAAGTAGCAGAGATTAGAAAGGGTGAGGTGAGGAAGGCTCTGAAGAGAATGAAGAGTGGAAAGGCTGTTGGTCCAGATGACATACCTGTGGAGGTGTGGAAGTGTCTAGGAGAGACAGCAGTGGAATTTCTATCTAGTTTGTTCAACAGGATTTTAGAAAGTGA